TGCGTAAATGGATTAGCCTCTTTTGATGTTGACAATCAGACTAAAATCACGTGACAGGCTGTTAACATTGGCTGTGCATACACTTTCGCCGGTCTGGAAAATGTGTTAGTTAGCTCTCATTCAAGTAACAATGCAGATTTCCCAGTGGGAGTGAAACTATTCGACTCTCCCATTAAAAAATAGGGGTGTTTTGAGCAAAAAAACGAATAACCCTGGAGTGCACACAACACACTGAATTTCGGAACAAATCTTGCATTATTTACAGCAGCAGAATACCACAGAAATATCAGACGAAACATGGAAACACTATATATATGTATTTCGGCCTGAACCCTCTCTATTGCAATTCCAGGAATTACCCCCCATATGTGCAACCATTTTCCACCTTGGTACCACCCAAGCCTGAAAACAAAATCTTAATACCACGCTGAAGCGTTTGGTAATAAACATGTGAAAACTGGTGAATGTTGTGACATAAAAATGTTTATCAGGAAAATACAGCGTTTAAAAAGTTTTTTGATTGAAAGAAAATCGTAGTTTGGGAATATTTAAAGGGCAGTAGTCATCGCACCACATATGCCTGAGATATGGGACTCATATAAACAAAGATGGCGGCTTTGACTGTTGTGCAGATCAACGAGTACAAACTGAGACGTTACCAAGCTTTAATGGGGTAATTTCTTTGGTGATTGGAAGGTATCGAAGAAGTCGCTGGTGGCAACTGGTTCACGTCACACCCAGTTCAAAACTCCGATTTACTTTAGAAGAGCACGTTGGTTTGTGGAAAAATCAATGTTTATCAACACAAATGTCGTACATGCGCAGAACGATATTATTAATTTCGAATAGCCACTGGCTTTTAAATTTATACCATATATAACGTACCTACCGGGGGGGTACTTGCTATATTAAAGGCAAATTTTCAAAAAAGCACTTATTAACCAAGAAACAAATTTGTTGTATACGGTACTTAATCATTGAAATACAAGTTATTTTGATCTTAAAAATTTTTCAGTCTGTAATTTAGGTGAGTGTATGTGCTATTGATCAGTGAAACAAACATTAATAAAACCCAGTGCATAATAATATAGTACATTGTACCATTCTTACAATGCATATATTTTTTTCTCCAAAGATTTTCATCAACAATGAGTTTGTGAATTCTGTGAGTGGTAAGACGTTTCCCACCATAAATCCCTGTAATGAAGAGAAGATATGTGATGTACAGGAAGGAGATAAGGTAAAACATTAACAAAAATATATACACACTTCAGCTGATTTTTTTTTTATTGAAGTTTTTATTGGTAATGTTTGACGCCATCTATTGTCTTTTTTTGAGATCCACTTTTATTAAGCAAACCCCAAGAATATGGTATAAAATGACAATTTTATGGAGGGCCCTGAACGAAATGTCAAATACAATGTCATCTTTAAGGGGCTAAGCCTCTCTCTAATGGCCTCTCACTGTCTCACCAAAAATGTTATGTTTTAATTTTCATAATAGTGCTCTCAGGTTCCCATCACATGATTGATTTCTCAATGACGACTACCCTGGTACTCAATCTTTAGTTTTCACGTCGCATTTTATGTGACATTATGACATTAGTAGTGTTTAGGGTTGACTTTGCCCATGAAATTGTGTCTAAAACAAAATTTTCAGTAAAATTTGGTCATGTTTATGAGGTTCTATTTAAAACAAAAGAAAATGTTCAAAATCAGTTATTGTCGCTTTAAGCACTCATTATGTGTTTTATTATTTTATTTCTGCTTAAAAAGAAGGTAGGGTATTGCCACAGTCAGCTGATGCACACGTGATAATAAAATAAATACGATATTTACTATAGGGGGCCGCCATTTTGAATGCAGCATAAAACTAAATAAGAGACAAGTTGTGAAACGCGTTTTCAGATTCCCACAAATCAGGACAAAAATACCAATCTTTCACAAAAATGCGATCCGCTGGGGTTATATTAAGCCAACCGATAACAAAATTCGACTGAATTCGGCGTTTTTTTGTGGAAAAATCCCTTGCATATGAAGACCTAATTACACGAAGAACATAGAACACTTTCCTGGGGTATTTAAAACCGAAATTGTCACCTGACTGTAAGGCCGTCGCTGATTGGCTGCTGAGCTGAAATGACAATTCATTTTATAATGATAAACTTACTGAAAAGCTGTGTTTCTCCCGATCATTTTCACGACTAACATTGGTATAATCCACCATTTTATTTGAGTGTGTTTATGACCTGACCCGACTCTGACTACTGATGTAATCTGGTGTGCTATAGACGGAGGTCTGTGATTCGTTGACTAAATCAGTGAGAGGTCTCGTTGAAATCTCGTTACATAGGCATTGGTTCTGATGTATGCTGCAATAGTTTAAAAAAAATACCGAATCACAAGTACGTAACAAAAAACATAAAAAACAAAATAATATAGTAATATAGTAAAAATAGTAAAAGTAAAATAAATTATATATAAAATAAAATAAAAAAATACACCAGATTTTAATCAGATTGACTATGAATAGAACTATATTGTTGGTGGTGTCTGCATTATAACATATTACCTGCCGATGTTGTTTTTCTTTATTATATTATTTATATCAATGTAATACATGCCTGATAGAATTATGACCATTATAATTTTCACAGAGTTTTACTCTAATCCTTTTTTCAGGCTGATATAGACCTTGCAGTAAAAGCGGCAAGAGAAGCGTTTAAACTTGGGGCACCATGGCGTACGATGGATGCATCGGCAAGAGGAAGGCTGCTGTACAAGCTGGCTGACCTAATTGATAGAGATACAGAATACCTGGCAGTAAGGGGATGTAGTTTCTTAGATGAAAATATTTATTTAAGACAACTTTAACTACAATGTAGTTGCAATGAGTCGCTGCAGAGATGCCCAAATTTATTTTTAATTCAAGACAAAAATGGTCAAATAGGGTCAATAACAGTAAATGTGTGAAAGTTGAAAATGAATGAAATATTTGTTAAAAAATCTTGCCAGCTGATTTAAAAAATATTTTTTTAGCAACTTTTAAGTGTCTACCGGTATATGTAACAAACAATAGAACTAACAATTCTGAAATGTACTCTTTCCTATTCATTTATTTACATTATGATTCTGTCACTAGAGGGCGCATTTTTTGAAAATTAATAAATGTGTATGTATTTAAATATATCTAAATTAAAAAGCTTAAGGTTTACTATGGGAAACATTAATGATGACAACATCAACACGTCTTCAGATATTTCTTTACAAAATAAAAAAAAAAATATGGAAATTTTATTTTATTCATTATACTTTATTCATTTACATAATCTAAAAATACTGGTTACTTTTTTAATATTTTGAAAATTGTCATATTATGTGGGATAATTTTGAAAAATTGGCAGCCACTGATTGTATGTCATATGAACCAGTTTCCTTATTTGATTTTGATAGAAATTAGAAACGCTAGACAATGGGAAGCCGTATACAACAGCTGTAGGAGATATGTCCAGGGCAGCAACTATGTGTCGTTATTATGCTGGTTATGCGGATAAAATCCATGGAAAAACAATACCAATAGGTGAGTGATTAGATGGTTGCACTTTGATGATGTCATAGCAGTCAGCGAAGTGTATTTACTGTAAAACCAGTCAATTTCACTAGTTTGCTCTTTCGACTAATTTCACTGGGTTTTAAGTTCACAAATTTGGCAGAGAAACAAAGAATTCTATTGTTATTTTATATGTTCAGGTAGATTTGATTTAGCCAATTTTACTTGTATACGAAAATAGCAAAATTAAAAACCAGTGAATCATTAATTAGTTTACAGTATACTGTATTTGTTCTATTAGAAGTGCATCTCTAATAGAACCACCTGTAAATGAACAATAGACATTTCTTTATTGCAACTTAAGGGTATAAGAAATTCTGTCTCCCTGATGTAACATCATTCACTGAGATGCAGCTGAGTAACATACACAGTTCATTGCCTTGATCCGACTAATCAGCATGGCATTCTCAAATACTGTATAATACTTCATTTTAGCTGGAATTAATTTTTGATGAAAAAGACTTTTTAAGTGTTTTGTATGGAATTTATTTTCACTGACTTTCACTGATAAGTTGAATGTAAAGTATCAAGAAAAAAAGGTATATTTGCTGGATTTTATTTTCACTGCATCACTCTTTCAGCAAAAATAATAAAATTAATTCCAAGCGAAAATAAAGTATTTCACAGTACGGGAGTTAACAACTGCATCTATAGTATACTGAATCTTTAAAACTATGACTTAATATGACCTTTGACACATTACTGTCATTTTTGTGAGTGCATGTGCTACTAGTAGAGCAAAAGCGGTATTCGATTTTTGTGGGGTTTTAGTGAAATATTGAAAATGAAAGGAAGAATAATTCCACAGAAAAAAGCAACAAAAACAGATGCATCTTTGCACCTTTTTTTATTGCATATATAATTTTAGTGGCTATTGAGACAAATTGATTACATAATTTCTTTTTCTGATACATTGTTTTGATTCTTATTATTTTTTCCTAGATGGTTCTTTTTTCTGTTACACTCGTCATGAACCTGTCGGCGTGTGTGGATTGATCATTCCATGGAATTTTCCATTCACTCTCATCTTCTTCAAGCTTGCTCCGGCACTCTGCTGTGGATGTACATGTATAGTCAAACCTGCAGAGCAAACACCGCTTACCGCATTGTATGCCGCTTCACTCATTAAAGAGGTTAGTGAAATTATATATCCCATGAGGCTATGCAATGTGATTTTTTGGTTTGGTGTCATTTTGAAATTAAAAAAAGTATGGAAGGAGGATTACCTACAAAAAAGCTTTTTAAATATTTCACAGTATGCAAATCAATGTTAATATTTAAACTGTTATGATTTAATTCTGTTGAATATCAGATTTTTTATATTTGCCACAAAAAGGAACAGGTCTTTGACCCTGGATGACATCATTTGCATACCATTACTTGTTTGTTTGATTCCTGGGAGGGCGCTGTTATCAAATAAAGAATTATTATTACACTGTCTTGGTCTGGCTATATTCAGTTTCACATAACTCCTAGTGCTGTACCTTTGTCTCGTCAGTAAATTCAGCATGTATCCCAGAATGCAATAGTGCTGTACCTTTGTCTCATCAGTAAATTCAGCATGTATCCCAGAATGCAATCCTTAGTGTTATACCTTTGTCTCGTCAGTAAATTCAGCATGTATCCCAGAATACAATCCTTAGTGCTATACCTTAGTCTCGTCAGTAAATTCAGCATATATCCCAGAATGCAATTCTTAGTCCTATACCTTAGTCTCATCAGTAAATTCAGCATATATCCCAGAATGGAATTCTTAGTCCTATACCTTAGTCTCATCAGTAAATTCAGCATATATCCCAGAATGCAATTCTTAGTCCTATACCTTAGTCTCATCAGTAAATTCGGCATGTATCCCAGAATACAATTCTTAGTCCTATACCTTAGTCTCATCAGTAAATTCAGCATATATCCCAGAATACAATTCTTAGTGCTATACCTTAGTCTCATCAGTAAATTCAGCATATATCCCAGAATGCAATCCTTAGTGCTATACCTTAGTCTTATCAGTAAATTCGGCATGTATCCCAGAATACAATCCTTAGTGCTATACCTTAGTCTTATCAGTAAATTCAGCATGTATCCTAGAATACAATCCTTAGTGCTATACCTTAGTCTCATCAGTAAATTCAGCATATATCCCAGAATGCAATCCTTAGTGCTATACCTTAGTCTCATCAGTAAATTCGGCATGTATCCCAGAATACAATCCTTAGTGCTATACCTTAGTCTCATCAGTAAATTCGGCATGTATCCCAGAATGCAATCCTTAGTGCTATACCTTAGTCTCATCAGTAAATTCGGCATGTATCCCAGAATACAATCCTTAGTGCTATACCTTAGTCTTATCAGTAAATTCAGCATGTATCCCAGAATGCAATTCTTAGTGCTATACCTTAGTTTTATCAGTAAATTCAGCATGTATCCCAGAATACAATCCTTAGTGCTATACCTTAGTCTCATCAGTAAATTCGGCATGTATCCCAGAATACAATCCTTAGTGCTATACCTTAGTCTTATCAGTAAATTCAGCATGTATCCCAGAATACAATCCTTAGTGCTATACCTTAGTCTTATCAGTAAATTCGGCATGTATCCCAGAATACAATCCTTAGTGCTATACCTTAGTCTTATCAGTAAATTTCACATGTATCCCAGAATGCAATTTTTAGTGCTATACCTTAGTCTTATCAGTAAATTCGGCATGTATCCCAGAATACAATTCTTAGTCTTATACCTTACTCTTATCAGTAAATTCAGCATATATCCCAGAATGGAATTCTTAGTCCTATACCTTAGTCTCATCAGTAAATTCAGCATATATCCCAGAATGCAATTCTTAGTCCTATACCTTAGTCTCATCAGTAAATTCGGCATGTATCCCAGAATACAATTCTTAGTCCTATACCTTAGTCTCATCAGTAAATTCAGCATATATCCCAGAATACAATTCTTAGTGCTATACCTTAGTCTCATCAGTAAATTCAGCATATATCCCAGAATGCAATCCTTAGTGCTATACCTTAGTCTCATCAGTAAATTTGGCATGTATCCCAGAATGCAATCCTTAGTGCTATACCTTAGTCTCATCAGTAAATTCAGCATATATCCCAGAATGCAATCCTTAGTGCTATACCTTAGTCTCATCAGTAAATTTGGCATGTATCCCAGAATGCAATCCTTAGTGCTATACCTTAGTATCCTCAGTAAATTCTGCATGTATCCCAGAATGCAATTTTTAGTGCTATACCTTAGTCTCGTCAGTAAATTCAGCATGTATCCCAGAATGCAATCCTTAGTGCTATACCTTAGTCTCGTCAGTAAATTCAGCATGTATCCCAGAATGCAATCCTTAGTGCTATACCTTAGTCTCCTCATTAAATTCAGCATGTATCCCAGAATGCAATCCTTAGTGCTATACCTTAGTCTCCTAAGTAAATTCAGCATGTATCCCAGAATGCATTTTTTAGTGCTATACCTTAGTCTCATCAGTAAGTTCAGCATGTATCCCAGAATGCAATCCTTAGTGCTATACCTTAGTCTTATCGGTAAATTCGGCATGTATCCCAGAATACAATCCTTAGTGCTATACCTTAGTCTCCTCAGTAAATTCCGCATGTATCCCAGAATGCAATTCCTAGTGCTATACTTTTAGTCTTATCAGAAAATTCGGCATGTATCCCAGAATGCAATCTATGGTCTATACCTTAGTCTCGTCAGTCAGATCCTTACATAATTCCGAATACAATTGAAGACTGTAAATAAAGATATTTGGATATATTTGCAGGCGGGTTTCCCACCAGGAGTTGTGAACATTGTACCAGGATACGGTCCCACAGCTGGTGCTGCTATCACTGAACATATGGATGTCGATAAAGTAGCATTCACTGGATCTACTGAGGTCAGTTCTATTTACACATATTCTACTAAAACTGCTCGAATTGTTAAGTTTTGGGGAATCCACTACATTTTTTCGATTTTTGTCAATTTGGTAGAACATTGTAATAGTATTCAAATTTTAATTCAACTATTTTGTAATTATATTAAAAAAAAATTGGCCAATATTTGTTCCATATACTGCAACATGACCAAAATGAATAGACAATAATTTGATAAATATTGTCTTGTGTATAAAAAAACGAGAATAATATTGGCCATTAACTGGCAAATAAAAAGATGAAAATGGCCATTATAATATTAGTCGAAAATTTGTTTAAAAAAATGATGAATGAATGAAAAAAAGTTTAATCAAAGTTTTGCTTCATGCTGTACAGATTTTCTATTAAGTTTAGACATTTGAAATTTTGAACTTTAGTCACATGGTAATAAGTCTAGAATATACGTAATGTTATCGAAATATCCCACTCCCATTAATTAGATGCATACTATATATATTGCACGATATGTATACAAAATTCTATTTTCAGGTTGGACAAATTATTCAAGCGGCTGCCGCCAAATCTAACTTAAAGAGAGTAACATTAGAACTGGGTGGAAAAAGTCCAAATATAATATTTTCTGATGTTGATTGTGAGTTTTGCTTAACCCTTACGTTTTTGTTTACTGTATTTGTCTGATTAAGTTATCAAATCCACCATTTTGTAAATCCATTTACATGTATTTATTATGACAAGTGATGGGAGCTCCTTTTGTTTATCTTCTAAGTGGATAATGCTGTAGAGTATGGTCATCAAGCTTTATTTAGAAACATGGGACAAGTCTGCTGTGCTGGCACACGAACATTTGTACAGGAAGACATTTATGATGAATTTGTTAGAAAAAGTACTGAAAGGGCCAAGAAACGTGTTATTGGAGATCCCTTTGATGAAAAGACCGACTCTGGGCCACAGGTATGTATATTTTAATTTTAGCTTTAATACCAAGGTGTAGAAGAGAAAAATGTTGTCATAGTCGTTGTCGTCACTGCTGTATAATTGTTTTTTGGCATTACAAGAACTCAAAACATCTGCATCTGACCTTTTATAATTTTTTTTATCATTATGACATTTTATTTTAAAATTTTTTTTATATTCAAACTACTCCATTTAGAAATTTAACATCCTCTATTTCCATAATTTTTTTTAGGTTGACAATGAACAATTCAAAAGGATATTGGAGATGATTGAAAGCGGCAAAAAAGAAGGTGCTAAACTACAGTGTGGAGGCAGTCGTTATGGCGATAAGGGATATTTTATTGAAAGCACTGTATTTTCTGATGTCACTGATGATATGCGGATTGCAAAAGAAGAGGTAAAATAAGGATTAATTTTCTGTATTTATCCCAATGAGCTATCATATAGAGATACACGATGAATATATAGTGGTGTTTTTTTTTTGTTCTGATATTTTTATTTTCATCAAAAACCTTAACCAAATTTCTTCTACTTAAAGTTACATCTAAATAGTTGTCATTAGGTGATGTACTTTTGATTTGAACCGACTTAGATACATTTGATGTTTTGAACTATCTAACAGCTAGGGCTGTTCAGTGACCATATATCTTCCTATCACAATAACTTCATGGCAGTCCTATCAAAATCTCATCTTATTGAATAAATTTTGATCTATATACCTTTATATGCAAATAGCAGCCAGGTATCATTAAGAGTGAGAGAGCCACAAATCCTGTTCTGCCCGTCAAATAATGTATCTTTCTCTGCCATTATTACATCTACTGACCTATGTAACCATGGTAATTTGATCACTGGGTGTGACGATAGGAGAGATTGAACACTATTCAAGAGACAAAATAAATGACAGCGGCCATGAATTGGATCTAATATCTCTTGGCTGGCCTCCCCATTAAGTGGCTTACTCCCCCTAGGTAAAGGTTGACTAGCCCTTTTATTGTTGTGCTGTGAGGTTTACAACTATGATCCTATCAATTACAAGTCAGGTATACAACAACCATGCTATCAGTAATCAGCACCCCTTATAAGTACAAAGCATAGTACATTGAATTAAATGGTATTTTTCATGAAGCTTAAATTGCTGAATTGATGCATTTTTGTAATTTTTTGCAGATCTTTGGTCCAGTGCAGCAGATCCTAAAATTCAAAACGATTGAGGAAGTGATTGAACGGGCCAACAATACAAAGTATGGACTTGCTGCTGGTGTATTTACCAAGGACATTGATAAGGCATTAACTGTATCTAACGCTCTGCAAGCTGGCACGGTCTGGTAAATATATTAATACTGTTTTTATTTAGTTGAATTGTTTTCTTGTTTTTATAATTAACCTACCTGTATTTTCAATAATCACAATTTGAAACTGGTTGAAATTAAATTTATAATGACCTCATATGCTACATTTGAAACACTGTTGATTTGAGTCCCCAACAAATTTATAGTTTAAATATTAAACTTGTGTTCACATAATTTTTGCACCTTCATTTACATTTACAGAAGAAGGGTGGTGTTGATTGTTAAACAAAGGCATTATGTTTACTAAGCACAGGTTTTATTCACGTACAACTCTTCGGTTTCAGGGAAAACAAAATCTGCATTGAATGCTCAATTCAAACCTCAATTCATACCATACATAGACTAAAACACAATACTGTAAAATACTTTATTTTAGCTGGAATTAACTTTCACAAAAAAGATATTTTGGGTGTTTTGTATGGAATGTATTTGCTCTGATTTTTGACGAGTTGAATGTAAAATATAGGGGGAAAAAGTATATTCGCTGGATTTTATTTTCACTGAATCATCTCTTCAGCGAAAATAGGGAAAATTAATTCCAATGAAAATAAAATATTTTACAGTAAACAAAATGGCAGATATAACCCTTCTCTTGATTGGTGGATTATTATCTTGCTTTAAGCTATGTCACGTATGAAATACTGATTTATTTTATTTGAAATTCTTTAGGATAAATACTTGGGGTCCTACCACTCACCAGAGTGCCTTTGGTGGTTACAAAATGTCTGGAATAGGACGTGAATTGTAAGTAAACATTGCGTAATACATGCTACAGTGCTTTGTTTTATATTGAACTATTGCCCTGTAAAATCCTATCATCCATGGTAGGACAGGCATACAATGAAACGTTATGTTCAATTCACCAGTACCCAAACCTTCAGTCTAGTTTTCTTTTATTTATTCAATATGTGCAGTATACTTAGTCAGTGTTTTGAAATTTGTAAAAATGTTGTTATCAGACACTAGGGCAGGTAACTTAAATGTTACCAGCCCTGTATTAAAGAATATTTTAAAACACTTCCGATTCTATTTCAAGTCAGCACCACAAAAAACTCAATATTTTTTAGACACACATAATGAATTATTTAAATTTTCTATTCCAGATTGTTGCACTCTGTTTCTTTTGTAAATAATATTATTTAGTAAAATTGTATTTGCACAGTTTTTATTGAGGCAGGCCGTAAGAAAAATGTTATTAGACCACTGGGCGTGCAAGTTTTAATTTGTCACCGCCCTGAACCACTCTGCTGAAATTTGAGTTAAAGCCATTATTGCGTTGTGCTTTTAAAGTGCTCGATTTTAGTGTCACTCCTACATGAATCTATACGCTTGAATCGATATCAATTTTATTTGTGTATGCTAACTGTTAGTGTTACTGCGCCCTCTATGGCTAATATGATATGTCACTGATATGTTTTGGTTCACATAATGTTATCGTCCAAATTGCACAAAATATGATATGATATATATTTAACAATTATTGATAACAATTTTTTTTATGTATTCAGGGGTGAATATGGTCTAGAAGAATATTCTGAAATTAAGACGGTAATTTGAATATTTAAATATCATATTTGTATACACAAGCATGTCAGTTGTGATAATTCATAATTGCTAAATGCAACACATTCTAATGTACTTTGTTTTTATGCTCTCTTTTTGGTTTTTACTACATATACTATGTTTCAAATGCCATAATCTGACACGATCAGAACAGTACTTTATTGTCACAAATAGCTCAATGTGATTAAGGTATGAGGCAGGTAGTAGGTATGAGGCTCCAATTTTTTATTTTAATGACCCTTTATATAATATTTATTTGTAATTTAGTTTGAATATGCTGATTTTTTTATTTTTCTTGCTGTTAATCAGTTCTTAGACACTATTTTCTACATTGGATTTTAAACAGATTGAAAAAACTTTGACCATGACAATTAATTGATTTTACTAGCTTGCCTGTAAACTGGATTTTAGAAGATTTCTAAAAACTGGTTTCTATCAATTTGTAAACATTTGTTGTTGTGCAAGGCCCTCCCCTTTGTGTATTATGCAGTTTGAACAGCAGTGTGGCTTAAATTGTATTTAAATCTTGATCAAGACAATAATCAAGCTACTAGTTTCCCATCATTACAGGAAATTGTGCTATCATCCGTTTTTCAAAGTGACTGCTGCAAGGGATGAATTCTAATTGTACCAAAAACTTGTTCCCAAATGTTAACCCTTGTGTATTGATGATAAAAATCCCATAGAGGGCGCTCTGTATGTGTATGTGGGAACCTTCATTATTCTCAAGACATCTGGGCATTTTCATTGCCTGGCAACCATTGCGGTGAAAACAAAGGTCGAAAACTCTCAGAAAGCAGTACTTTCCCCTGAACAGTGTAACAAAATTAGGCCTGCATGTGCAACATATATAAATTTGGTTGTTACGGATTACCCCTCATTTTAGTTTGTACTGTTTTTCCGGCTCTTCGACCGGCGTTCCACAGCAGCGCGCCCAGATCCCATAGAAATACATGTACAGTGGTGCGCGTCGTAGCAACGTGGAACGTCTTGTGACGTAGCTCCGCCCCCGAGGATAGGAGAGAAAGATATGTTACCAGCTTATTTTTTTTTTTTTGTTTTGTTTTACAGGTGACGGTCAAGCTACCACAAAAGACATGCTGAGATGCATACATGTAAGGAATATTGAAAGCTCCTCATTGGTCACCTACAGCTATAAAGAAATGAATATATGTTGCTTAAATCGCTAAAAGTTTATCTCAATTAATTCCTACCGGTAGTTTTTTTGCTGATATTTTTCTATCTGTGTAAATTACTGGGTCAAAATAGTGTTTTTTGTTATTGAAATAGGTGGTGTACACTAACACAGGTGCATTAACACCTAGACAGCTGGAAATGGAATCTATTTCTATTATGTCGTAACCATAAATATACATTTTTTTTTTTTTACATGGATAGTCAAAAAATACTGAATTGTTTCATAAAAGAAACAGCCATACATATCTAGGTAACGAACACACAAGAGTACAATCACTTTGTTCTGTTTTACTGTAAGCATTTTGTAATTTATGGAATTGATATACAAATAAAATAAATGAATCATCTGTCACTTGCTGTGTCATGTATTTACCTGTACTCTGAGATTCGAAGATTCTGCATACACATGCAGTTAAAACAACAGTGGCACTTAATGTGTGAAATTATATAAACCATTAGTATTCACCCGTCAACAGAACAGGTTTGGGAATACAGTACTTCGATACCGAGATCATAGATGCATCCTGGATGACTGTAAATACAGCAAACATTCAGCTGTGATCTACTAATAATCAAGTACGTACATACTGGTACATGGTGTTCCACTCACTTTACTGACAGGTATGTATAATGCTTGTTATAATTTAATAAGATATTACTAGCATTGTATGCAGGGAGTGAGTGGCCTATGACATCCCATAGTGTGTGTGTGGTGTTTGCATAAATCTGAGATGGCATCATACCTTGGCATAAATAGGTGGGGTATAATGAATGAAACAATGCATAGATAATTTTAATTTATTGATGCCTCTGAGCGAGGCCTTGCTATTAAGCAGGGTGAAAAAAAAACCTGCAAAGTTACATACTATTTCAGAGCAATCCAGTACATGTAATTTGTCAGTACCATACTTTACAAATCTCTTGGCACCGTGGTTGAAATCATCAAATACCATATATATTTTACTGACTATTAGAAGCACATACAAACAGTGACATGTATTGTATACTGGATCATTAATGACCTGTAACCATAGCAGCACTATCATTTATGGCAACATGATATATTTCTATTGTTTATATTTACTTTATATTATAAATATTCAATGAATTATTGTCAGATTTACTGAGAAAAAAGACCAATAGTAAAATAATACCAATTTCGCTTCTTTCACTATCTTAATAACTTAGTCTCATGGTTAAATATGGATGGTAGTAAAAATGAGAACCTTTCAGTAAAAATTCATTTTTAATTATTACCTAAATACCTACTGGTAGGGGTCACCAATCTTAATATAAAACCTCCCAAAAAAAAATAAGTTAAAGAATTATCTCCAGTAAGTCATCTTAGCTGACAAGAAAAATAAACTTTATGATAAGATGGACCACCAAAATGCATCAATATAATAAATGAATTTGAAAACAATCTTAACCCAAGAGCACCTACTACAGATGAAGTATTGAAAAAGTGGATAAATTTGTGTGCAAAAAAAAAGAATAAATTTCTACATTGTGTGCATCGCTTTATAGCACAAGACAGCAATGCTTCATGGGATGCAATGACACAAGCATGCAAACTTCAAATATAATACTAGTATGAACTATGAATATGTAAATTTTTAGATTTGTCTACAGTTTTACACATGCATAAAAAGAAACCATGTTAAAACTGCATATTTCTGTAATTAAAGGGGAGCAGAGGTGTGGCTTTTGACACTCTGTACATGAAATTTGAGATCTATTAATGAATTCTGTCGATAAAAACAACTTGTATGTGCTGCGAAATGCCCTAAATATCGGGTATAAAACGGGCTGTGAAGCAGACGACAAACTTCCGCCAGTCAAATACGTCATCAGT